TGGAGAAGGATACCATGTATGGTAAAGTAGAGGGTTAGAGAAAAAGGGGAAGGCCCTCAATGAGATGGATTGACACAGTGGCTGCAATGATGGGCTCAGGTATGGCAAGGATTATGTGGCTGCACAGGACCGGGCAGCGTTTTGTTCTGTTGTCCGCAGGGTTGCTATGAGTTGGAGCTGACTCGCTGGCACCTAACAACAGCAACAACTGACAGAGGCAGAGCCTGGGGCTGCAGTGGGTCCATTCATCATTCCTCTGGCTTCTGCAGCTCCCAGTAGATCCTTCCACAAAGATCACCTGGGCCCCCTCTTCATAGACATGGATGAATAGTCCTTGTTTGTCCATTAGGGGCCCTGGAGAAGGCAGTGCTGTCCCTGGATGTGCCAGAACTCCCCCCTCCAGTTTTCTTTGTCCGTGGTCCTGTTTGTCTACATAAACCAAACTGACTCATACCGACCTCCTTTGGGTTTCCGAGGCGGTAAAGCTTTATGGAAGTAGATAGCCCAGTCTTCCTTTTGTGAAATGGCTGGTGGGTTTGAACCATCAACCTTCTGGTTAGCAGTCAAATACCACAGGCACTATGCTACCAGAGAGTTTGTCTACATGGAGGGTGGCTATTCCTGAGGTCAGTTGGGGTTACGCAGGGATGCCACCTGCATTTCTGCTGAGTCCTGGCAACTTGTCACAGGGTGGAAGATAAGAGAAGGAAGCCTCCATTCTCTGTGCTCTAAATTTCATTCTCACTAAATCAAGGAGTCCCTTTCTTGGACATTCAGTGCAATGGAACTGCAATTATATGATCGTAGTGTAAGGGAATTGAGAGTGAAGCACCCCAGTGCAACACCTAGAATTAAGAGATCTTTAATGCTGATGGTAGAATTCTCATCTTCCATGCAGGACACGTGGGTTCCATTCCCAGGCAATGTGCCTCATGCCCACCACCACCCACCTGTCAGTGAAGGTTTGTGCCCAACACGTTTCAGCAGAGCTTCCAGACTAAGACACACCAGAAAGAAGGGCCTGGCAGTCTACTTCTGAAGATCAGCCAGTGTAGACCATATGGATCCCAGTGGTTTAATCCACAAGCAACGATGAGGATGGTGCAGGACTAGCAACATTCTGTCACCATGAGTTGTAATTAACAGCAACAGTGTTGACGTTAGAGCTTAACAGGAGTGCTGTAAGGGCTTTTCCTGGACATAAGCTATCAGTTCTTGAAGAAGTTTCCCTGCTAAGACACAGAGGAGGGGGCAGGTGTAGCAGCCTTCACAGCCTCTCTAACCTAGCAAGGAGAAAACCCTTAAGGGTCACAGGAAGATGTGGGGCCATCCATCAGATAATAAGGGAATTTTTTTCCTGTGGCCTCTGTAACAAAGAACCACAAACTGGGTGGCTTACAGGAATCCAGATTTATTCTCTGACAGTCTGGAGGCCAGGAGTCCACATTCAGGGCATTGGCAGGGCTGTGCTCTCTCCACAGATCCCACAGGGATTTCCTTCGTTGGTTTTCTCTCTTGTCCTCCAGTACCCGAGACATTCCCTGGCTTATGGAGGCCTCTTCACGTGGAGTGCTTCCCTCTGTGTGTCTCTGTGTCTCTTCTTCAATAAGAACACAGCTCAGGTAGAATTGTGAGGCACCCTACTCCTGCATGGCTTCATGATAATTCACTGCTAACATCATCAGTATGACCTGTCTCCAAACAAGGTCATTACATGAGCACCAGGGCTTAGGGCGTTGACATATCTTTTTGGGAATATAAATCAAGCCATGCAATAAGTGTGTTGTTGTTGTTGTTATGTGCCATCAAGTCAGACCCGACTCATAGCAACCCCTCCTTGGGTTTCCGAGGCAGTATCACTACGGAAGTAGATTGGCCCATCTTCCTTCCGAGGCGTCACTGGTGGGTTTGAATCGCCAGCCTTCTGGTTAGCAGTCAAGTGCCTTAGGCACTAAGCTCCAGAGCTCCCTGCAATAAGTATGGCACTCCCAAAACCGAAGCTTGGACTTCTGTCTCTTGATTGAAAAGATTCAGAAAGGGCCAACTGAATTAGTCATCCTAGGTACTTGAACTCCTTATTTTCAAGATAAGAACAGTATCGTGAATATTGAAAGCATTTATTGATTTTGATTATTTTTCTAAAATTCAGATTTAACTTTCCATCTGGTGAAACTATTACACATTCAATTGGACCTTCAAAAAATAGGATGTGAACACTTCAGAAAGCTCTTTGTTCAAGGAATTGTAGGGTTGGATCCATTATGAATCAACTGTAGAGGTAATTGAAACACAATCCAAGATCTGTAATGTGCAGCCCAGACATTTGATTCAAGACTGGGCAATTGTTAGGATAATTGTAATGACAACAAGAATGGTATTTTCATTTAAAAATTTAATGTTAAGTCAATGTTGTTTGAATTGAACTTTTGTCTTACAATGCTTGGGAAGCTAATCCTTACAACTGGGAGTTGAAAGGTACCTCTTAGGGTGATCCTAAAGGTCTACAGAAAACTGCAAAAGTGGCAAAACCTGTGAGGCATTCTTGTAAAATGTATTTTCCTATTTTCTGATGAATATGAGCAGAATTTGCATCTTGTCTTCACTGTTTTTTTTAATGTAAAGTGAATGTCGTATGCTGTTGATTAGCTTTTATACCATAATTGATATCCAAAAACTAAAACCAAACTCACTGTCATTGAGTTGATCCAACTCATAGCGACCCCTCCTTGGGTTTCCAAGATAATATCACTACAGAAGTAGATTTCCCAGTCTTCATTCTGAGGAGGGGCTGGTGGCTTTGACCCACCAGTCTTCTGGTTAGCAGTGAAATGCCTTAGGCACTATGCCCCCAGAGCTCAGTTGAAAGTTAGTTGCCATCTTGCTGTTAGTCATCACCGACTTGATTCAGACTCATGGTGATCCTTACACCAGTAAATTCCCTGGGAAGAGGACAGCAGGACAACCAAACATTAATTAATAAGCATTTTGTTCCTCAGAAATTCTCAGTTAATCATTTATGAGGCAAAGAATGGGAATTTGGAGGGTCTGTTGGCCTTGTGCTAGGTGGACACAGGGCATCTGCAAGTCTCATGTAAGTCATGGAGGAGGAGGGGTTCTTGGAAGTGAGCCATTCCTGGGACACAAAATGGTGGTGAATTTCTTCACACATCCTGGTTTCCCGGGATCACGGGACTCAGGAGGAGGTTAGCATTGTCAAGGAATAGGAATGCCCCTGTGGTGGAGAGCATCGCAGCAGTGCATCCCTTCCAGAACTAGCTTGTTCCTCACAAAAATGAGATCTGCGTTGCACACTGGGAAAGCCTCTTAAGCAGCTGAAACCACCCTGCAGGCCCAGATCTTTCACTGGGCAATAATGAAACTTGATTTTTGGCCTCACTTCACAAACATTTCAGAAAACATGCAATTCTATAGTATAACCAGACGTGCTTCATGACTGGGCCAAAGCTAGAAGCAAACAGAGGCTCCAGCACACTTGCTCTTGCTCTCTGGGGAAGCCAGGCCATGGGACGTGGAGGGTGCCTTGCCTGCTGTGGTGGTTATGTGTCAACTGGGCTGGGCCTGGTTGAGTGGCTGGGCAGCTGGGCAGCTGGATGTAGTATTCCCCATGATGAGACTGATAATCAACTCCATGGTGGGATCTACCATAAGCAGCTGAGTAGCTGCCTTAGGGATGTGGTCTGCTTCCTGTATATAAGGAGAAGCCTTGGGGAATAGTCTCTAGCTTATGGCACACTTGAACCCTGCATGTAGCTATGTCATAGTTCAGCAGCCTGCCATGCTCTGCCGACCTTGGGACTTACAATGGACTTGAATTAATGGCCTGCTGTGTGGTTTGGTAACATTGGGTCTGTTCCTTATTACTTGTCAAGCTTGGGCTTTTCAGTCTCAGCAGCCAGCAGCTGAGTGAAGAAAAGCCTCCAGCTTCAGTGGGCTGGGAGCAGGAGGCAGAGCTGAAACCCAAGGTTGAGGGGCTTTCACGCAGCCGCTAGAGCCTGGCACTTTGAACCTGGATTTAAAGCCCCCAAACTGTAAACGAATAAACTCCTGTTTCTTTGAGCATCCCATCTGTGGTATATTCCAGTCAGAGCAGCACTAAGTAACCAGAACACCTTGTGGAAGACTCCATACTCTTACTGCTGATGTCCACAGCACATCGCAGGGCCTGCTCATCTGGCTCACCTGGCCTGGCCTGTGTTGAGGACAGGGCAGGCCAGGCTGGCTGGGTCTTGTCAACAGGACCCTTGCCTGACCTTGCAAAGTGCCTCATCTCCTTCCTGGTCCACAGTCCAGGGAGTTGGAGTGAAATGTTCTCCCAGGACCCTTCCAGCTCTCACGCCCAGAATCCATGTTTCCCACTATCTATCCTGTGAAATCGTCACTGAAGTTGCACTTGGAGCCGGTGTTTTAAGGTGACTCTGTACTACCTGGAGATGAGGCTAAAATTTATGTGGTGCATGCTTTATAGCAGCAACCTTTGCAGAGGGCACTGGCATTCACAGAGGACTTCATGGTGCTAATAAAACCCAAAGCAGCCTTGGCATCAGGAGTTTCAGAACCTGGGAACAGCTCCTAGAGGGACACCTGGTTTTCCTGTTTAGCATCAACCTGGCCTTGTGTTGGCCTGAGAGAGAACAGAGCATGTTGGGGACAGGAGTCAGGGATGCAGAGGTCATGCCCTCGTCCAGCCATGCTAGCGCAGTGAGGGCGCATGAGCCCTGGAGCTGCGATGTGTGGAGGCGTGTCCTTCATCCTCCACCTGCCAGGGTGGCTCCAGGTTTCAGGCCTCTGCCCATGATCAATCCTGGGGCAGTCCCATTCCAGCCCCGTGGAAGGGCGCTTTAGGGCATTGTTTTTGGAGGCCTGTACTTTGTGTGCCCCTCAAGATGCAAAGACGGAAGGGAGGGAGGTGGGAGGAGGCGGCAGAGGGAGGGAGGGTCCATGAGGAAGAGCGCGGCTGTGAGCCTGCTCCTCTCTTGCAGGGCTTCCCTGGGAACGCGAATGCTGACAGCGTGGTGCTCTACCGGCTGCGGCCACCAGTGGAATCGCGCCACCTGCGCTTCCTGCCGGCCGCCTGGAACCACGGGGGCCGCATTGGGATGCGCGTGGAGCTGTATGGCTGTGCCTACCGTGAGTGCGCTCCTGGTGGGGCACAGGATAGCACAGGCCCAGGGAGCTGCGGGGGTGGGTGGGGACCCCAGGTGGGAGCCCACTGTGAGATCATGGCTGGGGTGGATGTGGGCCAGCTGGGGCGGACCAACAGGCGTCACTAGGGTTGGTGTCATCCAGTGGGATAACTCATGGTATCCACTCCCTGGAGCTCTTCCCCTAACAGACCATACAGAATCCTTAGGAATCTTTAGTATTAATTTTAATCTTAGAATCATACGTGATAGAATGACAGAGTGGTAATGTAACTTGCTAGAATGACAGAGTGATAATGTAACTTACTTAAATGCAATATTTCATCTACAAATAGTAACACCAAAATTGTTTTGTCAAATCTTTCTACATTGAAATACAATATTAGTAGAAGCCTTTTTTGGTTTTTGCCCTTTTCCTTTAATGACTACATTCTCAAAGAAGTTATTGATGAAGATTCACAAATACTGAGCGCCATGATAGTGTAGCTTAAACACCAGAAATTGACCAAAGTCAGTGACGGTAAAGATACAAGCTGTAACGGAAACAATAACGTATGCTTCTAATGCACATAATGACAACAACGCATGCAGACAACCACGTGAGTCACCTTACTTGGGTAATAACAGCTGTGGCCCGAGTCCATTCGCAGGTTCAAGAAACACAGTTGTAGCCTGTAGGTAGATTGATACATCAAAGGCCCCTGCAGAGCCCAGAAAGTGCAGAGGAAACCATCTAACGGATGCGCAGCCTGGTGGCCGAGAGCGTCGTTCCAGGCTCAGTGAGAGCAGTTAACCCCACAGCAACGACACTGGGAATAGTGGGGCTGCAGTGTTTGCTGAAGTCAATGACGGTGGGTGCAGACCCCAGCAGGCTCTTAGCTCCGCCACAGCTGGTGAGGAAAGGGCCTCACCCTGCCCTGTCACAGAGCAAGTGAGGGCCGAGAATGGGAGTGACATATCCAGCCCAGCCCTCTGGAGTGGCCGTGTGGACTCCTGGTGGTCTGTCCATCTTGGCCGCCATCTCCTTCAAGGTCATGGCTCCACAGGCTGCCCGCTGCTGTTCTGGGTCCTCACACTGAAAAAACTCACATAGATGCTGGACAACAGGACTGGACTGAGGATGTGTCCTCTGTGGGTTCCCGGAGCTCAGTGTGGGCATCTGAGGAACTAATAGAGTGCAGGTAGGTGTGGCCAACCTGCCCGGGGTGCTATCTGGTCACCTCTGTGGTGCCCCCAGGATGTGGAACTGTAGGAATCTCCACCAGGTTGGGGCCCCAAGATCACTCTTGGGCTCGAGGACCTGCTGAAGGACTCAGATGGATCATCACACTCAAGGTTGGGGTGCAAGGACAGGGAATAAAGTCAGCACTGGGAAAGAGGTGCTGGGGTGAGTGCAGCAGGCCAGGTATCAGAGCCAAGCATTCCTCTCCGGGGAGGCATGTGAGCAGTACTTACTTCCCCACCAGCAATGAGGAAACACTCCCAGGAGTGTCACTGCCAGGGACACCCCAAGCCTTAGTACCCAGGGTTTTATTGAAGTTCAGTCAAGGAGGCAGGGAGTGAGACAGGTGGCTGAGCACGGTGACTCAGTCTCCACCCCTGAAATGTTGGAAGAGACCAGGCCCTGGAGAAGAATACTGTGCTTGGTAAAGTAGAGGGTCAGCAGAAAAGGGGGAGACCCTCAACAAGATAGATTGACACAGTGGCTGCAACGATGGGCTCAAGCATTGCAAGGATTGTGAGGCTGGCACAGGACCAGGCGGTGTTTTGTTCTGTTGTACATGGGGTCGCTATGAGTCAGAACCAACTTGAGCTAACAACCACCACCACCACCCCTTCGAGAGATCAGACTGGTCCTGCATGGCCCACAGCCCAGGTGAACGGGGTCAGACATTCACCACAAATGACGCTGTTGATGTAAACTCTCGGGCATGGCCCAAGGGCTCAGGCGAACAGCCCAGCCACAGTCGAGCTAAAACCTGGGTTTGAGCAAACCTTCCTCCACATCTACAACAAAGAACATTGTTATTGTTGTTAATGGTTGCTAAGTTGATTCTGACTATTTAACGGCTATTCCATTCACTCACTCACTGATTCATTCATTCACCATTTAAACTTCGATAAGAAATGTGCTGCTTAAAGAGAATTTTATCAGGGATTTGACATGAAGGATCAGTCTAAAGCTGTGTGCTGTGGAGTTGATTCCGACTCACAGTGACCGTAGAAGACAGAGTAGGACTGCCCAACAGGGTTTCCTAGGTAATCTTCACAGGGGCAGATAACCAGTTTTTCAGTTAGCAGCTTAGTGCTTAACCACTGAACCTGTAGGCATGCCTCTGTCTACCACCATTGCATGTGTAGACAGGCTGTGCCTCAAACTTTCAGGCAGCCATAACACTGCTGGGAATGAATACATACGCCCACTGACATCAACCCTTCTATGGGAGCTACATTCATCTGTGATCGAGCTGAATACATGAGACACGCAGTGTTGGCAAAGTGAAAGCCACTGTTCTTACCTGTAGAAAGCAGACAGTAAACAGTAACAAAGATGCCCAAAGGGAAACACTTAACCTTTCCTCACGTTACACACATCCATTCTCATGTCGTTGGGCAGGTGAGCTGTGATTCAGGTCAGGTGCTGTGTTCACATCATCACTGCCTCCAGCTCCCACCACACTGCTTAGGATGGGAGAGGCCTACATGGCCCATGAGGCTTCTGCTCTGCTGCTGGGCCTCCCTGGCCTCTGCTGCCACCTCCCACTCTGCTACCCGGGTTTGCAGGCTCCCTTACCAGCAAGTCTGGCCATTCCTGCTTCCAAGGAGCATTCCAGCTGCACTTCTTCCAGGACAGCTTTGTGTATTCTTTTACCAGTCCATGGTACTTTTCAATATTCTTTGCTAACACCACAACTCAAAAACATCAACTCTTCCTCAGTCTTCCTTATTCACTGTCTAGCTCTCACATGCATATGAGGTGATGAAAAATACCATAGCTGGAGTTAGGCACACCTTAGTCTTTAAGGAGACATCTTTGCTCTTCAGCACTTGAAAGAGGTCTTTTGCAACAGATTTGCCCAGTGCAGTATGTCATCTGATATCTTGACTGCTTCCTTTGGTGTTGCTTGTAGAACCAAGTAATATCAAGTCTTTGACAACTTCAGTTTTTTCTCCATTTATCATGATGCTGCTTATTGGTTCAGTTGTGAGGACTTTTGTTTTCTTTATATTGAGGTGTAATCCATACTGCAGATTACAGTCTTCAGTCTTCTTCAGTAAAGTGCTCTAATGCATCCTCACTTCAGGCAGGCAAAATTGTGTCATTTGTATATCACAGGTTATTAATGAGCCTTCCTCCAGTCCTGATGCCATGTTCTCCTTCATACAGTCCAGCTTCTCAGATTATTTGCTCATTATACAAATTGAATAAATATGATGAAAGGATACAACCCTGATGCACTCCCTTCCTGATTTTAAACCATGCAATATCCTCTTATTCTGTTTGAATGACAGCCTCTTGATCTATGTACAGGTTCCTCATGAGCACAAGTGTTCTGGAATTCCCATTCTTCTCAATGTTATCCATCATTTGTTATGATCCACACAATCGAATGCTTTTGCATAGTCAATAAAACACAAGTAAATATCTTTCTGGTATTCTTTGCTTTGAGCCACGATCCATCAGACATCAGCAATGATATCCCTCCTTCCACGTCCTCTTCTGAATCCAGCTTGCATTTCTGGAAATTCTCTTTCAATATACTGCTACAACCATTTTTGAATTATTGTCAGTAAGATTTTATTTGCATGTAATATCATTGATATTGTTCGATAATTTCCATATTCTGTGAGGTCACCTTTCTTTGGAATGAGTACAAATATGGATCTCTTCCAGTCAGTTGGCCAGGTAGCTGTCTTCCAGATCTCTTGGCAGAGCCATGTGAGTGCCTGCAGCACAGCATCTGTTTGTTGAAACATCTCAATGGGTCTTCCATCAATTCCTGGAGCTTTGTTTTTCATCAGTTTCTTCAGTGCAGCTTTGACTTCTTCTTTCACTACCATTGGTTCTTGATCATATGCCACCTCCTGAAATGGATGAACATTGACCAGTTCTTTTTGGTAGATGTATTCCTTCCATCTTCTTTTGATGCTTCCTGCATTATTCAGTATATTGCCCACAAAATCTTTAATATTGCAACTTGAGGCTTGAATTTTTTCTTCAGTTCTTACAGCTTGAGAAATGCTGAGTGTGTTCTTCCCTTTTGGTTTTCTGACTCCAGGTCTTTGTACATTTCATTATAATAATTGACTTTGTCTTCTCTAGCTGCTCTTTGAAATCTCTGTTCAGCTCTTTTATCCTGTCATTTCTTCTGTTTGCTTTAGGTCCTCTCTGCTCAAGGGCCAGTTTCAGAGTCTCTTCTGACATCCATTTTGGTCTTTTCTACGTTCCTTGTCTTTTTAATGACCTTTTGCTTTCTTCATGGATGATGTTCTTGAAGTCATCCCACAATCCCTCTGGTTTTCGGTCATTGGTGTTCAGTGCATGAAATCTATTTCTTAGATGGTCTCTAAATTCAGGAGGGACATATTCAAGGTCGTATTTTGGCTCTCATGGACTTCTTGTAATTGTCATCAACTTCAAATTGATTTTGCATATGAGCAGTTAATGATCTGTTCCACAATCGGCTCCTGGCCTTATTTTGGCTGAAGATACTGAGCTTTGCCATTGCCTTTTGCTACAGATGTAGTCAGTCTGATTCCTGTGTACTCTATCTGGCAAAGTCCACGTGTATAGCCACCATTTGTGTTGTTGATAAAAAAGTATTTGCACTTAATAAGTTGTTAGTCTTGCAAAATTCTATCATGTTATCATCTACAGAGCTATTTCTATCACCAAGGCCATATTTTCCAACTACCAGTGATTCTTCTTTGTTTCCAGCTTTTGCATTGCAGTCACCACTGATAATCTACACATCTTGATTGCAT